CCACGGCGCCCACATCACCGTTCCAGGGAAGCTCCAAAGCTCCGGACGAGCTCCAAAGGGCAGACGCAAGCCAGGCACAAGGCCACTCGTCAAACGAGACTGAAGGAGCACCCAGACTCTCCCATAAAAGTTTCCTTTCCCTCCCTGCAAAGAAATCACCCAAAAGCCCGACGGATTTCTAGGGAAGCGCTCGTTTCCCGGGCTGCGGCTCCCGCGCCATCCGCAGCAGCTTGGACACAGTTCGGAGCTGCGTTTCAGCCTGTTGTGTTGATTATTTCCAGGTCAGGGGCTGCAGCTGACGGAGCTCAACTTTATTCCACTTCAGGGATCCACGGCGCACCCACTGAGGGATGATCCGGTAGGACGGGCACATCCAACTGGTGCTGAGAACCTCCAGGAGCCCAAATTGAAACAAATCCTCCCCAAACTGCTGGGGAAGGAGGATGCGTGCACAGCCAAGAGGAAAATCAACAGCCTCATTTTTCATCCTGCAATGATCCAAGTCCGGCATGTATGTTCGGAAACTAGATGCGGATCAGAGATGAGTTCTTCATCATATTCTTTTCTGCCACCAACCAGGATGATGCTTTTGGGACCAGAAGTCAGTGATGAACAAACGAGTGAAGCGCAGGTGAACAAAAAAGAAAGTTTTGTAACAGTGCAAAATAGTGAGATTAAATTGATTCTCATTCCACATCAAGAGCGCAGGTGAACAAAAAAGAAAGTTTTGTGCAAAATAGTGCGATTAAATTGATTCTCGTTCCACATCAAGATGGAACTATATTGCCCCAGAAAGGGGTGAAATTTCTCCCTCAGCCAACACAGTACCTAAAAACAGAAAAAGCAAGGACATTCCGGGATGGAGGTGCTCAAACATCCGCACAAGCTGCCTCATTACGTATTTACTGCAACAAAATACCAAGCACAGCCTTGCCATATTCCAGTACTTCCAAAGCCCTGCCAATATCCCTCCTCCTGGTTTCACCAGCAACCTGAAAACAGTCTCTGACAAAACCGGTGGTTTCAATGGATAAACTTCACTAAAAAAAACAGAAGCAGTGAAAAGCACCTATGCCAGTAAATACCAGTATCAGGTCAGGTCTGCTTTGTAAACTGCTTTAAGGTCTCCAACCTTAACACCCTTCTGCTTCCCTCTTCTTGCTACCAGCACCTTGCAAATCTAAACTACTGTTGCTAAAATTATTAATTACTAGAGAAGTAATTGATAGCTAGAATTATTCGACTCCTACAGACTCAGGATCCAGGGCTCAAAAGCCAGAGACATTAGAGGAACTGGAGATGACTCCCAGGAAGACTCCTCTGTGGAAGAGATGAGACTTGGGATTCTCCTGGGACAAAGAGATTTATACCAAGGATCACTACTCAGCTATCACACCCAGGCACAAAGACTACACTTCTCCCATGCACAACAGCAATCTCAGTTCAGCTGCATTCCGGATAGCGGCTCCCTAAGGAAGCAGAGAATTCTTCAGAGAAATCCCTCACCCAGCCAAGTACAGGAGGAGGGTGCCAGCCAGGACAGCACGTGGCCACGCTGCTCTTCAAAAGGCATCAGCAAATTCAAGTTAGGGGCAGCATTCTCCCCTCTGTAAGGATAATCTTCAGAAAGCGAAGGGTGAATCAAAAATATTTAGGCTAGAAAAGTCTAGCAACACAAGCAGATATGGAAGATGAGACATGTTGCTGCTTACACATGAGCATATAGAGCACTGGAGAAATCATTAATTACCATCTCCTGAAAAGGTGATAGGATCTGCTGAGGAAAAAAAAAAAAAAACACATTTTCCCCTTTATTGCTGAAAATTCCAACATTAATACTGGAGCACAACATAAAACATTGTGCCAAAGACTATCAGGAAGGCTCTAGGTACATAAATTCAATGTTTCCTAAGTTAAGGACCTAAAAGACGGAGTTCTCTATTCCTACAAGAGCTGATCCATGTTTAATCAAAATCGAGACGACTATAAATATCAGTTTAAAACAAAAAACAAGCCTTATAGCTATCCAATTCCAAAAGCTGAACCAATTTCTTTGTGCCCTGGATTTCTCTCCAGAAAAACTCCCAACTACCTAATCAGAAACTGGGGGACATGTTAGAACTCTGAAAACGGGACAAAAATGCCTCCTTTCAGGCTTATCCCACCTCTTACAAGAGAAATCAGGATCTCTTCTCAAGCCATTTGGAAGAAGGGAAACTTGAAAAGGGCCAAATGCACCTAACCACAAAGCATAAAATAAACTCCCACTTGGTGCTGAGACGAAGCCACTGCTGCTAAGCAGAGCAACTAATTCCTATAATCTGAGTCAGAGGGCGCTGACTGGCAGGATTCGGGATGGCTGGATCAACAATGCCACTACGCAGGACTTCCCACCGTTCCCAGCTACAGCAATTTCTTCAATTACTTCAGTGGCTTCACTTTTCCTACGTTCTTCGCCAGAGGATGGGTCACATGGAAGAACTTGTGGAGAGGCAGAGTGGAAAGAAACATGCTATTTAAAAGGATTTTTCCCCCAGGCCTCAGAACAAATTAAATCTTTGTAATCAGGGTCCAAAAGGAGGGAGGGAAAAAAAAAAAGGAAGAAAAAAAGAAACAACCCGCAACTACTCCCATTAGGGGGTCAACACTAACAACGCTTTTTAGTTTGGGTGACAACCTGTACCCACAACCCAAAGGAATTACTCCCAGGGACTCGCAACAGACCCGTTACCACTGCTGAAGGCAAAAATAGCTCTGCTACACACACAGCTCGCTCTCCTTTGACCAGTGCAACTGCTGCTTAGAAAGAGATTTAGCCAGAGGCTAAAGAAAAAAAAAGCGACTCGCTTCCTATGAGGTACAAGTGATGATAACCATCAGAATCAGAAATTCAGCACTCAAATTCTTGGGAGTCAGAGGCACAGACCAACTCGAACAAACTAACCTAAACTTTTAATCCTTCTGCTCAGTTTTCTGGATGCAGTTTTCACCTGAATTTTAACTATTCAAGTCTCAAACCTGCCGCAATACTAGACACTAATCTGATATCCAGCCGCTCGCTGTACTTACAGAGCAAGCAGACTTTGAATACAAAAGGAGAAAATAATAATAAATCTGCATCTGCAGTGAAGGAGCTATTGGTGCCTGATCTTCCTCACTCCAGGTACTAATAAATTTGTCTTTCTCATCCACCATTCAAGTCTACTTGGACCAAAGAAGCTTAACTCAGCAATATGAGGATCCACTGACATAGAAAGGCACCAGCTCTACCAGGCTGCTCTGTGCCAGAAAAAGTAGTGGACTCAATAAACAATAAAATGAAATAAACATGAGACACCTTCCCCTGAAGGTCAGAGCCCACCGTAACAGCAATCTGGTACTTCTGGCACTGCAGTCAGAAAGCTCAAGAAATCATTTAGCTAGGAGACACCAACCAGGCTTTTTAGGGTTAAACTTTACTCTCGGATCCATTACTTTTGTAAATTACATTTAATCTCCAGTGGGAAGCCAGAAGCTAATGACTTAGTAAAAAGCACAGGCAGCCCCCATCATTCCCATTTCCATGCGGAATACTACCCGTGCTAATTTATCCTGCTGTGCTTCTGATTGCCCTCGCCCCATTCACTTCTAGAGCAGCTCGCAACTCACCGGCAGGCTCGAAGGTCTGGACTGAAGATTCAAGTTCATTTCTTCTTGCCCTTTACTGGAAGCCAGTGAGGGAGCAGATGATGCCTGGGACCCAAATGAGTCTTGAGATAACTCCTGAAAAACCAAGTGACAGGAAAAAAAAAAAACACATAAAATGGGAATAAAATAACAGCTCTGTGGAATCGACCTGGTATATTCTCATATTGTGGAAGAATTATGTACCCGTGGTGACGTTTGCCCAGAATGGGAAATAAGACAGTAAAGAGTTCAAGCCAGCAGGCCTGGTGCTCTGTAGGGGGACAGATGCTGCCGGGCTGCTATAGAGACTGTCAGGACTGGAACTCTAAACCATGACAAAACAGGAATTCTCTGGTTTTCCCTTCTTACAGGCCCAGAAGCACAGAAACTCTCTTGGGAGATGGCCCGCTTAGCTTCTTGCCTTCTGACATCTCACTGGAGCAGTAAAGTGCTTCGGTGCACAAACGCCAGGCGATGAAAAAGGAAAATCTTCCAACTTTGGGAAGCTACCTTTGACGCGACACAATGTTTGCTGAAAGGCTTACAGTTGGCTTTTTGCATAACTATTACACAGCCTTGTTGAAAATAAATACAATTAAAAGAAAAATCTGATTCACAATTGTATCTTTCACTCTATGGGTGCACTGCTCTATCTCCTCCCTAAAGCCTGGTTTTACATTTAAGAGCAAACTCTCCTGTCATCATCTCTGCGTCACTCTGCAAACTAACTGTCTCTTTTGGCTCCAGGACCATTTTTTGCTGCCATCTGTAAATGCAGGTGGAAAATTTCCACCCAAGCAGCAAGGAACTCGAGGAGCTTTCCCATGCTCGTTTCCTCTGTGCGATCAATATGCCTCCTGAAGGCTCAGTCTGGGACACAAAAGCACCAGGAAATAGGTTTTTTTGAAGCCTCAGAAGCACTCTGTTATTGTGCTGCATGGAGCAGCTCTGTAGACCACCTGGAGCTATCCCACAGCCTACAACTGGAAAAGCATTCCAGTATGAAACCCCTTAGCCTGGTATTGCCCATCAAGCAGCATTTAAGCAACCGTCCAAACTGCTACTGGAGCTCGGCCCGGTACCGCCAAATAAATCACACAGATCTAGACACAAGGGAGAGGGCAGCACGTTTACCACTGCCATCAGCGCAGCCCGATGGACCAAAGCAACCCCGCAAAGGAAAGGATTTGCCCGAGTTTCTTCCAAAGCGCTCGGGCAAAGCAGGGAAGCAGGAGAGGGCCTACCTGAGGAGGGGGGAAGCGCTGCTGCGAGTACGCGGCCTGCGGCTGCGCCTGCGCCGCGGGGTACGAGGACGACTGCGACAGCGCCGAGGAAGCCGCCTGCTGCGTCGGCTGCTGCTGCTGGTAGGGCGACTGCGACTGCTGCTGGGGGTAGGGGGGCTGGCTCTGTTGGTGCTGCTGGGCTGAGGACTGCGCTTGAGGATACGGAGTCGGGGACTGCTGATGGGGCGGCTGCGACTGCTGCTGCGAGTAGGCAGGCTGGGAGCCCTGCAGCTGGGGAGGCTGCGACGGAGGCTGCTGCTGCTGATAGGAAGGCTGAGCGTGCGGGGTCTGCGACGGGGGCTGCTGCGGGTACGGCGGCTGCTGCTGCTGCGGGTGAGGGCTCTGCTGGTTGTAATACGGAGTTTGGCTTTGCTGCCCGTACGTGCCGGGGCCCTGCTGTCCGTAAGGAGGCATCTGCAGCAGAAAAGGGGAGAATTACACCCGTTACAAAGGTATTTCGCACACACGAAGAAAATGAGGATGCACGTAAGAAGAAACAAGTCAGGGACCTGTGCAGAGCAGCTAACTGGGAAGGGACTGGAAATGCCACCCTATAAGGAGACCTCCCAATCAACAGCAGAAATCACTTGTGTTTGACGTTTTCCTTAGTAGCAACAAACCATCACTAAGTTCTTAGGGGTCCCTATCTGATCATCTTGCTCAAATAACTCAAATAAGCATTTCTGATCCAGATGGAGGCAATCCCTTCAGAACACACAGTGTTTCAGTGCTCTTCTGCTTGACCCAACGGAGCCTACAGAGGCAAGAAGCTGGGGTGCTCTACCTGCTGTGCATACGAGATGCTGCCCATCGCGCTCTGCGTCCTGCTTTGCATTCCCATGGGATATCTCTGGGGAGTCTGGGGCCCATAGGGCTGTCCTGGATAGCCATGTCCTTGCTGTGGCCCAGCCTGAGGCCCCTGCTGCTGTGTGTATGGGTTGTTTCCTCCATACGGTTGAGGCCTCATCTTCCCCATCTGATCCATTGGGCTGGAAGGCTGCAAAGCAAGCGGGGACACGTTATGTACATCCAGCTGCATAGAGGAATCGTTCACAACTTCCAAAGCAGCCCAGAAGGAAACTTCAGCACGAGGCGCAGGGCACGAGGCGCTGGTCTGCCCCTCTGAGCGCTAAAACCCGTTGTTGTATCCCAAAGCAAAGCACCATTCCCACTGCCCGCTCACATCTAAATGATTCCCCATAGCTGGGAGTAGTTTAACATCTACATCCTCCACAACATGCTAAGTTCAAGATGAAAACGTAAATATTCACAAGAAACACTTTTTTCCTACACATATAACAAGGTCTCCCAAAACACAGTTGATTTACACTTATGCATTTGAATTAATCCATGTTGATGCACTAACACCAGGCAGTGCTACCGATGTTCACATCGGTGGTCATGGCAAGACCACAGTCCCAGTTTGCCCACTTTTGTCTGCCTTTTGTAGAACAAAAGTTTCTAAATTGAATTTCTTTAGATGAATGTACTATATATGTGTGTGTATACATGTATGTGGACATATATATACTTTTTTGTCCTTGCAAGTCAAGTCCCTGCGTTTTAGAGCAGACATCAGGAGACAAGCGAACAAACGCAACTTTACCAAACTGTGGAACCTGCCCTGCCTCTGCCTGGAGCCAGGACATAAGGAGAGTCGATCAAATTTCCTGAAAACCATGAACCTCAAAGCAAGGTCTTTAACACGTCTCTTCTACCTCAGCAGCCCTGTTCCTGCACTAAAGCGAGGCCCAAACCTTTAACCTCCAGCATTGGAGCTGCATGAGAAGCGCCGGCTCCTCTCCCGAGCACCTACCTAGTGCAGATGAGCTGTTTTCCAGCGGATCCCCACGACAACGGGCTCCCCATTCCCCACTCCTCCCTGCCCGCAGCCCCGGGGCGGTATTTGCACAGATCCACCCTCCTCGCTGGGGAGCGGCGCGGCAGGCCCGCACAAGCACCGCGCAGCGCCGGGAACTCCCGAACGCCGGGACGCCCGCGCCGCATCCAGCCCCGCTCCGCG